TTTGCTCAGTAGAGGTTAGATGCCATTGTGTGCTGTCATTTGAAGTAGACCGTGGATAAGCACTATGCACCCACTGGATGTCCACTGAGGACTTCAAAAGGATGTTGCTGAGGCCAAGTCTCTAGTGCTGACCTCGTCTCTCCCTTCCCAGACATGAACGGGGTGAAAGTGTTTGTGGACCTGGCTGCCATCTCAGCAGGTGAGAACGACAAAGAGGTGGACCGTGTGGCCTGCTTCCACGATGCCATGCAGGGCTATGCTTCTGTGCTCTACAAGCTCAGCAAAACAGCAGGCTTTGCTGAGTTCATGGACCATCTGAGAGAGCTGTGGAAGGCTCTGGAAAATGACCCTAACCTGCCCGAGAAACTGGTAAGCCTCTCTGTTCTGGCACCTGCACAGAACTGATTTTAAGAAAGCCTGACTTATAGCAGGAGGGATGGAAGTAAGCAACCGGGGGTAGGTTTTTAGGAAGCTGTTTAAAGGGACGTTCAAAAACAGCCTTGTTCTATGTAGATACCATCTCTCTCCTGTTAAAAAGCAGGCTACACAAATTGTATGCAAACGGTAGTCTCAATTACGGTAGTCATCAGCACACAAAACATGGGGAAAGAGGTGATGGACGAGGATGTAAGATATGAAAATAATAATCTATAACGTATCAAGGGTTTGTGAGGGAGGGCGAGCCGGGGAGGGAGGGGGAAGAAATAGGGAGAGCTGATATCAGGAGCTCAAGCTGGGAAAGAATGCTTTGAAAATGAGGAAGCAGCATATGTGCAAATGTGCTTGACACACTGCATGAATGTATGGATTTCCATAAGAGATGTAAGAGCCCCCAATAAAAGCATTTTAAAAAATAAATAAGTAAAAATAAAATGAAATGTAAAAAAAAAATGGGGAAAAGATTGAAAAGGAGGTGTGCTAAAATATTTCCAAGATTTGTTTCTATATGGTAATCATTTATTATTTTACTAATAACATTTCTGGTAGCTTCCATACCTGTCACAATTGGAAAAGAAACATTTCAATTTAAGTGAGCTTTGTGCACCAGGGGCCTCCTACACAGATCCAGATCCTATGGACACTATGTATGGGACCTCCCAGAGGACCCCGTGCTGCCCAGGCAGCTGGACCAGCCGCAGAACAGCCCTGGGGGGCGAGGGAGAAATGAGAACTGCAGTGAACACATGGACTGTTTGCATTTTCTCGGCTACAAGCTCAAATACAAACAAACACATCTGTGCCGGTTTCCCCAAAGTCTGGAACTTCAGACTTTGGACCCAGCTGACGAGTGGGCTTCCCAAGGGAAGCAGGCTTCGTGTCTGTCCATCTTCATCACTGACTAAGGATGCAGGCCAAGGGCCCCACCCGCCAACCAGGGCCTGGCCATTAGTGGAGACTGGACACCGGCTTCTTAGAGATGTGGCAATACCAAGGGTCAGGCATGCTGTGAGGGAGGCGCACGAGCCCGTGGGAGCTGTTCCCAGTACAGTTGTGGGGGCGGGGTGGGGAAGGCTCTCCTGGGGGGGGGCTGCAGAGCCTGGACCTGAGGAAGGGACTTCTCCCGGGGAAAATGGAGAGAGAGAGGAATACTACCGGGAGCGGCGAAAGGCTATGATCATCTGACCCAGGGACCAATTTCTCGACTTCTCCCCACAGCGTGATTCTGCCAGGAACCTGGAATGGCTGAAAACAGTGAAGGAAACACACGGGTCCGTGGAGCTCTCGTCCCTGTCCCTGGCAACAGCCATCAACAGCAGAGGGGTCTATGTCATCGAGGCGCCGAAAGATGGCCCAAAGGTGCCTGAGCTCGGGTCCCAGGGGTGTTTAGGGGACATGCGGGGGCTCTGCCTCCAGTAACTGACCGCTCCCTCTGTGATGTGCCCCAGATCTCCCCAGACTCCGTCCTACACTTGGACCTTCCTGAGAGTCTTGGTGACCACGGGCAAGCACGACGGTACTCGTTAGAAGAGCTGAGAGAGCTGCAGAACAAGCTGATGCTGATGTCTGGCAAGAAGGAGCAGAACATGGTTGAAGTGGAGGTGTTCGCTGAGGTGAGTGCCCACGGCCACATCACAGGCAGGCCGGGTGCCCACCGCAGAGGTCGCATCAGTCTGGGCAGAGTGGCCACTGCTGAGTTGCTGGAGAAACTCAAAATGGCGTCAGCTTGGAGTTAATTGCTAAGAAGTCCCTGGAGAACAGAGCTAGTGAGTTTGCAGAATGCACGCCACCTACCTTCCCAGCCTGAGGGGAGAAGGGCAGCCAGTGCGGGCCCTGAGGTGAGCTCTCCTCCTCTGTGGTCCGCAGGGTGGTCTGTGCCTGGGCCATTGCCCTGAGAACGGAGAGGCCAATGGGTAGCTTTTAGGCATTAAGATTGCTTCACTCACTCTATAAATCAGCAACACACCAAAACTTTCTAAAAGCATAGTGATTTACATAATTGTCTCTTATGTGTATGATAGGCTTTCTTTAAAGTTCACTTAGATTGTCCAAATCATACCTTATCTTAGTAATACAGTACCTACTGAGGAAGAGAGCCCTCCCATACGGTCAATTCTATGGATGAGGAAGGAGGGTCTTTTGTGGTAAATGTCATTTGCTCACAGCGGGCATTATTGGTTCCGTGGTAGAAATGTGCCTTCCTGTGGAAGGTCAGGGTCCCTTTCCCAAGCAATGCACCTTTCATGCAGCTACCACCTGCCTGTCAGGGGAGGAACTATGGGCTAGAACATGGTATGGCAATCTACTTCTGAACATCGGCCATAACATCCTCTGGGTCACGAGGGTCTGATCCGCATGTGTGGTTGGCATGGTGCAGGGCTGGGCAGCATTTTGCCACACTGTGGGGCACTATGAGTCGGGGCTGCCTTGATGGTAGCTCCAGCAACAGCATTTGTTTGAGGTCATATAGTCAACCAGTGTCTTTCCCATTAGAAACCATCTTTATTGTTCTAGACCGCGTGGCCTCTCTGGTACAGTCTGTAACGTCCACTGATTGTTCACTCTCCGCAGGTGTTCTGCAACGTGCAGAGGCTTGTGCAGTCCTTCCTCAGTCTTTACTCTGCTGGGAACATGCTGTTCAGGACCTGGAGCGCCCAGGTGTACTGCTCTCCTAAGGAGGGCGTCTCCATCCTCATGGACTTCCACTTGGAGCTGGTGGGCCAGCTCACGGGGTGCGGGGAGGTGGCCGGGCTGCTGGAAGACCTGTGTAGGCAGATGGAGCACTTCCTGGACCACTGGAAGACGCTTGTGGCAAAGAAGCGAGCTGAGTATTTCCACCTCAACTTCTACACAGCCGAGCAGCTGGTCTACCTGAGCACGGAGCTCAAGAAGCCCAGGCCCAGTGAGGCAGCCCTGATGATGCTGTCCTTCATCAAAGGCAACTGCACCTGGCTTGATGTCCTAGAAGTCTCCAGGAGGACTGATGAATCAGCCAGCAGACACCGGGGGAGGACAGTGAAGGCAGAATTACTACGGATCCTCTCCTCTGAGCCCAGCCTAGCGGGCAAGCTGAGGGC